CCAGGCTCTTTTTATCTCTCGTACCTTGTTTTTCCTTCTCCTGATGTTTTCTTCATTAAAGATGGACACATTAATCACAGCAGCTGTCTGCTGTTGTGTCTGTGGGCAAGACACTTAACCCACCTTGCCTGCGGGTGCCTGTACTGCAGCTGTGGCTACATTGTAGCTCATCATCACCATCATGTGAATGAATAAATGATGCACTGTAGTATAAAGTGCTTTGGAGTCCTCTGACTCTGGAAGGCGCTATAGAAGTGTACAGTTGGTTGGTCTCATTAAATCTGGAAGTCTCTCAGGATCTTGGCTCAGTCATCGTCCAAAACCTTGGGAGGTGATCCCACTTTGACCTCGGGTCTTTGGTTTGTATTCTGTACACCACACCAGCCACTTGGTTGTGGTATCTAGTATGAATGTGTGTGTGCGTGCACTTTTGTGAGACTTGATTTTCATACCTCTGTCCCTTGCATAGTTTCCTGCAGAAAGTCAATTGATAAGTCAGTATTAGCTGTTTGTAAAGCTTTCAGAGTTCTGTGAACTCTAACTAGGATGTGAGAAACCGCTTCTGAGGCGATCTCCGATCACCGAAGGAATAAAGAAACATCGAGCTTTAATTGTCCATCGTCTCTTTCAGGGTTAAACTTGGCTGCTGACACATCTTCGCTGCTCCTGTGAAGCAGTCTCTGTGACCTTTCCTAAATAGGCAGCTGCTTGCTTGGGCTGTTGGTCTTGCTGAAGTCTAGACATGCACTTTGATTATATTGACCGGCCCGATCCATGATCTTCTGTACAAAACCTTGAGCTGCTCAACAGAGGCATCACTTCAAAAATGCTAATCGATGCATAACTGCAAAGCTGGCAATGTGCTCGGGAACACACAACCACCCAGGTCTTCCTGTGCAGATGCACGGCCGCGTCCCATTTTAATGTTAGCCACATCACCTGGTGCCAGATCCACTGCTCTGTAGCAAGACCGTCTGTACCGTGTTATACCAAACCACAAAAGGTACTGAAACAGCGGCGGGCCTCTAGCATCACAGGGGGAGTCTAAAGATTATGTAAAGTATGTCTGTGAGTGATGAGAATGGAGCAGGCCACCACTGACAGCAGGTATGTAGGTCACACACGGGGAGGCCTCTTTTGCATTATTCCTTCCCATGTCTACTTTTGTGTTGTCTTCCTCACTTAATCAGTTATTCTCCTATTCCTTTCATGTCTGCATCCCAGTGCTCTGGCTCTTTGTCTCTGTTGTCTTCTGACAGACCACGATGGCGGTGTCACACTACGGTGGATGAAGTAGGAAGTAAAAAGAGACATCACCAGTGATTAACGCTGCCAACGGGGGCGGTCTTGTTTTTGCTACTCAGGCCAGTGTCTAATCAAAGTCACGCTAGTGGTCATGTTGCCCTCGTTTTTCCCAACATATGTTGCCGGCTGTACCTCATTTCTCTTTCCGTCTCACGCTGCCTTCTAATCGTCTCCCCTTTTCTGTGAGGAGTGGCTTAAACCCCAAAGCAGATGGTGTGCTGTTCTCCTTTCACTCATCCGGAGTACTTTGTGTTTTCTCATCTTCTCAAGCATGGCCCAGGCTTGTGTAATGAGCTCGGGTCTTTTCAGTCTGTTTAGAGGACCCTGACCCGGCGTAGATCCGCCCAACCACAGCCACTTTCACAAGGTTACCAAAACCCACAGGGGAGCACAATGCTACTCAGCGTCCACAACCCCGCGGCCTTCTCTTAGGGTGAAGAAAGCCGGAATATTAATGAAGACTCCTGGCTTTTCAGGAGGATAACAGTGGAGAGGGGCAGTGGCGGTGTTTACTGAACAGGCTTGTTTTCATCTGCCCAGCCCTCAGGTCACAGCCCAGTGCTCTTTAATTGGCTCAGATTGTCAAGACAGTGTTTCATCTGAAGGAAAGGAAAACTCCTGCTATCAAACGTAGACACCCCCTCTTCTCAAAATCCCTTTTCACTTGCTGCTTCAGGAGAGGCAGCTCACACAGCCGAGCTCCTTCCCCGAGCCTGCACTACAAATCTAACATTAACATATGAAAATAGGCTGCTTTCCACATTTACCAGCTCATTAGTTCTTTTGGTCGGGCACTTGTTGGAGTCCACCCGCTCTTGTTTCGCTTCAGCAGGGATGTCTTTGATTATCTTTTGCAGTAGCAGGCGAACCAGGCCCAGAGCTATTAGTCCGTGTAAAGTTCAATGAGAGGCGCTGTGATACTTGTTTAATATACATAGTCCGATACAGACCCCATTCAAAGACCACCCAGCTGATCCTGAAATTAATCTTTTCAAAGCATCAGAGCCCCCACGGGTCCTGCTGCTGCCCGACGCTTCGTTGGAGCTTCACCAAACCACAATAAAACAACGACCAGACTCCAGCTGAATACAAATACTTCCTCTTAGTGTGAAAGATTTGGTCTTTATTTATTTATTTATTTATTTTTTACAGAAAAGCTGTTGGACAATTATGTAGTCGTTGGTTTTCAGTAGGTCCTGTGATGGGGTCATGCTCGTTGTTTGTCTGGGAGCAGCTGGACACCTGTGTGATCTGCTGGAGATCACATCTCCTGGACCTGTTCAAACACAGCAGAGCAGTCAGGAAAGGAAACCACAGCTTGGTGATCAAATAGAGAACATTCTCCTGGGGAAGTGGCACTGCAGGGCACAGACACGCTTACACCTCCATACCTCCATTGATTTTTTTATTCTTTCACCAATAAAGGAGAGGAGTTGAATTAAAGTCAGCGAGATGTCCTGTGGCTGAGGGACAAAGAGAGCCTCCTGTCTGCCCAAGGCTCCTGTCTGGAACATCAGCCAGAGATGGTGTCCACGTCTCTGTGTGGGTGACCCTGGGGGGCGGCCCCTTCTGTGGCCTGACCGTTAAAGGTGGAGCGATATCAGGACTGGTGATGAGTTTAACAAACGCTCTGTAATGACAACGAGACGCTTGGAGGAGCTGCTGCTCATTTATTCAGTTACGTCTCATTGCTGTCCGTTCAGACCCATTTTCTGCTGTGGCTTGTTGTTCTGCAGAACACTGATGCTGACCAACAAAACCCTAACTACCTCCCGTCTAATGAAGGGATTGAAGGTGGGGAATGTAATTTTCTGCTTGTCTGCGGATGAGGGTGACTTATGCCCAGGCTCTCTCCCCTCTCTTCTGTGTGGAAGCGTGTTAGCTCGAGCACATTTTCCACCCTCCTGAAGGCTGAGAGGATATAAAATGTTAAATACTGTAAAAGTTGAACAAAGATGTTAAAGTTTTATTCCTCTTAAGTGCACAGCGACACCACATCAGGACTAATTACAGCTCAGACATGAAAGTCGGATCTGATCCTGGTTTTGAGGTTCGTCGCTACGAAGGTCTTTCAGAAACATCTACGCTACGTCAGCTCTGCTTCCTGCTGAGGAGCTCAGTTCGGTTTAGTGTTTTCAGCTTTTCCTGCCCTCAGCACGCCTCGCCTTCACCAGAATCCTGCCAGAGGCCCGTTTTTCTTTCTCCCGCCTCTTGTTTATGAGTTTACCAGAGCCATCCCAGATCCTTTTTTGTTGTTGTCTAAACGATAGCGCCCCCCCCCCCCCCCCCCCCCGCTCTCAGCACACTGGAGCCAAATTAGAGAGCAAGGAAGAACAATGTTGCCCCCCCCCCCCCCCCCCCCCCCCCCCCCCCCCGAGCTGCAGGCAGGTGCTGGGGTATGTTGGGAATGAGGAGCAGGATGCTACCTTAGCACCAGGACGTGAGAAGCTTCTGGAACGAGTCGACGGAGGCTTTGTTACGTCAGGCATGCGTCCGACCTTCAGCTTTAATACAAATGAGGTGGTTATGAGGAAATTGGACCCTGATTCATGGTTTTGTTGCATTATTGATCAGGGTAATTTCGACTCACATGACAATATTAGTGAATCATTTCATTTATTCTCTAACTACGAGTCTCGTTTTCATTAATAATGCATTCAAGGCTGTTTAGAGATGATTATGAATTATCACAAATTATTGTTTTATTATATTTTCATATTTGAAGGAAAATCAAGTTAGCTCTCGGAGCAAGAGCGCGGTGTGCGTGAGCAGCATCTAATTCCAGTGATGGAACTTCAGAAACGAGCTGCAAGCCACATGGAAATCCTTTAAAAATAGTTTTATTATCTGATCTGCTAGGCTGCTTTGTGGTCGACTCCTCAGGCGGCTGTTGCTTCATCCTTCCTGGTTCTCAGCAGTCTTCCTGTCCCAACGGTGTCTACTAAAGGTCGAGTTCACTCCAAACTGTTGCAACAGATTAAATACAGAGACGGTATCTTCTGCCATCGCTGCCAGTCTCCCAGAAACAAAAGGTTTCTCTCAAGTTTTCTTTGTGCTTTTTTAGAGCCTCTGCAACAAGTCGTCTTGAACCCAACTCACAAATTAACCCCCTCCCATCCTATTAAATAACCTCGACTTGTCTCACTAAACAATGGCACCCCTTTTGAATCCCTCACCTTCTGTCGTGTCTAAGCAGTTATATTTGTTTACATTATCACAAGACCGCCTGGGGAGAGCGGTTATTTTTACGATGTGCTTTGTTTGGATGATTGTTGTCGCAAAGAAGGAAACGTGGAGGTTTGCTCAGGGAGAGACGATAAAGGAGCGGTGTGACTACAAAGGTAACACGTGGGATAGAGAGGGGAGAGGATGTGTGTGGGGAGGTCTCAGGCTGCCTTGCAGGGATGGCAGTCTGTAATTAATTTTGCATGAGTCTCTCTTTCCCATCTTGTGTTTGTTTTGTTCTTTTTGTGAAGTCTAACTCTTTAGGAAGGCAGCAGAGATGAAGGATGAAGCTGCAGTGAAATTCTGGTTTGAGAATGAAAACATTTCTTCAGCAGGAAGTAATTTGGTTAAAACTTTGGTTCTGATTTGGGGGAAAGTCAGCACAATATTAGGTTGTAGTCACTTTTATTAACTCCATGTGTGTGAGCTGACATGTTACATGCCTGTAACAACATGTGCTCTGCTTTCAGATGAGTCTGACACTGGAACTGGCGAGGGAGGTGAGTCGAGTTCATACGTCTCCATACGAGTAGGGTTGTCACGGTGTGAAAATTTAACCTCACAGTTATTGTGACCAAAATTATCACAGTTTTGGGTATTATGGCGGTATTTTTTTTTTCAGACAACTAAATAAATCCTGTATATCAGGAAAATATTGTCCTCGGTTTGTGTCCTTCCAGTGAGCTTTGCAGATGTGGGAAAATGTCATCAGGCAGTAATCATTGTTAAATTCATAATTATTCTCGGAGAGAGACTAACTCTTATCGGCCCCTGGGAGCCCCGTAATGCATAGCGTCATTTCAACATGGGGGTGTCCGCGACACGGTTTATATGCAGGTAGCGGCGCTGCGGCTGCTTTATATAGCGACTCGTTGCATTCTCCCTCAACCCAAATCCTCGGATCACGCATTTTAGCTAAAACGCTAACGTTAGCTTGCCTTGCGTTGACTGTAGAGTTGTGGGTGATGGTCACGCAGATGTGTCATGAGATTTGAAGCGTTGCTGCCTTTCAGACACTTTTTCTGCTCGTGCTGCAAACAGGATAGCCGTCTTCTATCAACTGTCCCTCGGCATTCTTCAAATATCCAAAAGATGCCCGTACTTCCCACTTTGTCTTCTTTGAGGGATAATAAATGTCCTGAGCGCTGCCGTCTCCTCCTTTGGCCATTATTTCAGCTTTAGCTTCAAGAAAGTTTTGGTTGTAAACAACAAAGTGCGCATGTGCCGCCGGCAACTTCAGCAGATGATACGGTGGCTGGTAAGGGTCACCGCGCCTACACCGCAGCCACGGTAATCCACCGAGATAATATAGTTTTTAAAAAAACAAGACGGTTATTGTTATTGTCAACTTTTTACCGGGGTTTACCGCTACACCGGTTACCGTGACAACCCTACATATGAGTAGGAATTCTGCTTCCTGCTCAAATCCCCCATCCCAGTGTCCTCTGTAGCACATCACATCCTGACTAGCGGTAAACTACACTTCCCAGCCCCAAAAATAGGTCATACTCTCTAATTTTTTGTTGGACCACCTTTAGCTTTGATTACGACGCACATTCACTTCTTGTTTCTGTCACAAGATTTATGTCCATCCAGTGTTGCATTGGTGATGGTAGAGTCTCACCGCTGCACAAAGCCTTCTCCAGCACATCCCAAAGACTCTCAGTGGGGTTAAGGTCTGGACTCTGTGGTGGACGATCCATGATGTCTCATGTTCCCCGAACCACTCTTTCACTCTTTGAGCCTGATGAATCCTGGGATTGTCATCTTGGATCTGAAAAAGGGTCTTGTTCCTGAGTGAGGGAAAGATGGGCCGTGATATCGATAAGCTGATTGGTGATGGGGGTGTTGTACCAGTCTGTCGTAGTGAAGAGAAGAGAGAGGTAAAGCTCTCGATTTACTGGTTCGTCTACATTCCTACTCATCACGAGCTCACAGATATTAGTGGCCAAAATTAGTTTTCTACACAGGGTGTCTGGAAGAGAAGCTACTACTAGACCTGCCGCCCTCCACATTGAGAAGAGCCTGGTGAGGTTTTCTGGGCACATCCAACTGGGGGGAACTATGTTTCTTGGCTGGCCAGAAAATGCCGCCTTGAAATCCCCCCCGGAGGATCTGGGCATCTCTGCCCTCATGACCCAACACCGGATAAGTAGACGATGATGGGTGCATCACTTCATCTGCCTCTCTTCCTACCCTGACACACATCACTCTGGACTCGTCAGACCAGTTTTAGTCGTCTCTTAGATGTTTTCTCTGCTTGATGCATGCCATTGATCCGACCCTTCTCAAACAGAGACTCAAACATCTTTTCCACATGGTTGTTTAAGAAATGAAACGCAACTCATTGCTAGCCTGGCCTGCCAGACTCCTCCTCAGTTTAATTCTGCACAGAGAAAGGGTCTGGGAACTCTCCTATTCAAATAACCCCGCCCGCTGACAATTCTAACCGAGCCAATCAGCGCAGAGTTTGTCATAAACATGGCGACTGACGCGGCTCTTTCCTCTGTTCTAAATGACGAATGTATTTAAAAGCCTTTCTTCCAAAGAAAAAGATGTTTGCGCCGTTGCCAGACGCTATTTTTGACTACAGCTAAAAAACTACAGCATCGGGTGGTACAGTTGGAATTATTGAGCTGGCTAGCCCCGCCCCTCAAGTGCCTCTGCCTGTGAGTTACCAGACTCTCTCTCTGTGCAGAATTAAACAGAGGACGAGTCTGGCAGGCCAGGCTAGAGCCTGATTCATGCTTCTCCATCTGCGTCAGCGCGGAGACACGCAGCGTCCTTGCGGGCCTTCCGGAGAGCTACGCAAGGACGGACAGAGTCGAGCTCTCTTTTCTAAACATCCGTCAGTCGAGACGGACAACGCAAGCTTGTGAGTGGTCAGGACGCTGCTGTTGTCTACAACGCCGCCATTGCGCCCTCAAAAACATAAAGAGAGCCGAGGATAACTAGCGGCAGACACGGAGCAGCTTGAAGAATACCTCGCAAATAAACTCTAAAATATGAACGTTTAATTCCCCGTGACTGGAGGAGTGAAAAGATGCACAGCAAGCGTTTTATTTGTGGACGGAAATGACAGGAAACGTGGGTTTAGAGGTGGGGAGCGCATGAAGAGGTGGGAGAATGAGAGACAAATATGTCCGTGTTAAAAGTCTCTTATATACATAAAAACACAATATAAACACACCATCTTGGACCGATACATGACAGGATACCACAGAACAGCGCTACGCCCTCTGCTGTCCTGGCGGGGAATTGCTTTGCAACACTCTCCAGGAGACGGAGAAGTAAGAGAGCAAAACTCTTCCGTCAGTCCGTGCGTGTCTGTCCCTTGCGGAGCTGACGGAGAAGCATGAACCAGGCTAACTCGTTGCACCAGCTGGGGTTAAATAACTGAAAGGTCACCATCCATGCAGTGTATATAGTCTGTGGAAGAGAAGCACTACGATTAGAACATGAGATGATTACATCAAGATCAGTCCAGGACCTCAGGCAGCCGCACAAAACTATAAATTTGTTCAGCTTGATTTACAAGCTTGAGAAAGCAGAGCCTGTCAGCTGCCCACAGGATTGCAGACCACATACTCCTTGGGTTTTTCGTTACTTATCAACTCATCCTCCCGTTTCCTTTCTTCTCTTCTCTAGGAGTGGAAAATGTTGCCGAGACCTCAGAAGGAACCGATTTGAGTAAAACCGAAAGCAGTCATCCCAAAGGTAAGGGCACACAGGAGTGTTCACACACTTATCTCATGCACATCCCCAGTTTCAAGAGGATTCCTAATAGTGGCCACAGCTGCTGAGACTCCTGATAGCTTCTGTTTTACCTCGTTAGTCTCTGCAGAACTAGATGCTTCCTGTTTGCCCTTTTAGAGCCAGAATGCATCCACTAATCTACAGCCCTGATTATTTGGCACATAAGCGTCATAAACTCTTTGGAGATTAAATCTGATTTAAACTCAACTGCCAGACGCTTAATAAATCAAAAGAAGAAACAGGTTATTCAGTTGTGCAGCCACCTCCGATCACAGGAGTAATAATCACAGCAATAAATCACACCTGATAAAGATACTACGCTGTTTTCATTCTCTGATTTCTATTGAGATTTAAGGTAATAAGGTAGCATTTAATTTGAAAGTTGACAAACACAGAGAGGGCTTTGAATTTCTATTGCTGCATTCTGTGGAGTTGTTGAGCCAGAAAAGGAGATTTAGATTTAGGCTTCGTGGAGTTTCCAGGTAGGAGGGGAAAACATCATCTGCTGTGAGCAGATTGTTGGGGTTGAATAAAGAGGGTTAGGGTTAGCAGCACATGAAATAAGTTGGCAGGCTTGCACGGGTTGGTGCTGGAAAAGAAACGCTTAAACAAAGAACCAGAGAGGAAGTACAAAATGGGCTGGAGTTGAACAACCATCAAGATCAGGTATCATTACAACCTGGAGTCTTCCAGGATGTAACGCCTTTTTGAATTGAGCCATTATGCAACACTGGAGGATCACAATGGACGTTCCAATCAGATCCTTTTTAGGAAAGCAATAAAAGAAGCAAAGACATCCAAGTTGTCCTTTACAACAGAATAGACTATTGATCCCGCAGTGGATCAATTCACTTCAATTCAATTCAAAGGTACTTTCTTAGTCCCAGAGGGAAATTACAGTTTCAGTACACACAGTTCAGAGATCAGACATACATACATACATAGACACATGACAAGAACTGGTGACTGTGGTCATTCACAACCCTGAGCCGCGCTACCTTAATAGAGATCAGAGGGTTACATGAGGATTGAGTCAGGTGGAGGAAAAAAGGCACTTCAGAGTTATCCTCCACAGGGAGGACAGCTTTGCTCTGCAAAAAACACCTCAGACAGAAATGCAACAGACTTCAGACATCACACAACATAAGTGTCCACTAGGTGGGGTGGTGGGTTTGGGACTCTCCACACGTCAGTTCCTGCAGCCACGATGAGCAGCGCTCGTCACGTCCGTTTGGACAGGGGAAGGAGGTCGTTGGGTTTAGAGGGCACTGTGACTCCTGGAAACGGTTCCACGGCCTTCACCAGTCACAGTCCCGCCCAGGCTGGGATAGGGAGACAGAGTTGCCATGGCAACGGCAGCATTCCACATATCTTCTGAGCCTCACAGGCTCAAGGGCACCAGATTCAGATAAGAACTTGTTTTGGGCCAGACAGAGATCATTTCCTCTCCGTCGTAAAGTTCCGTTGGTCCTCCACCTCTCTCAATCCAATCGTTTAAGTTTCACTCATTAAGAAACATGTTTATATTATTTATATCTAAAAGTAGAAGTGTTGTTGACTCCCTCAATGTGCAGCTGTATGTTCTCGTGACAGAGCAGGCAGGGTAACTTTTCCCTGCACAACACCTAAACAGCCGCCGTTTTGCAGTCTGTCGGTTGGCTCCGCGTTTCTGTCTGACTGAGAACTGCGACCGTTATTCACGCCCGAAGAGAAAAGCCGAAGGCAGCAAATTATGCAGCTGTGTCCTTCCCAGCATGTTGAATGCCTAGTATGCACACATTACAAGTGCCTTTAGCTCTGTGTTAGCCTGCTAAGCTAGAACAGCTGCACCTTGGGGTTTGACGTCACCGTGCTGTTTTCGTACAAGAATACTGATGCAGAGGAAGTTCTTGAGTTTACAGCCTTTATTCTATTTGAAAATCCTTCTCAGGATGAATTATTAAAGTTGTGGAAAGTTAAATCCGATTTATTTCTCCCGATCATTTCAAAATCACGCGAGCAGATCGGAGCATCTCTATAGGTAATGGATTATTTTGTCTTCCAAAATGAAATAAAATTGGTGAAACTGAGCAGTCTCAGTAGCAATGTTTTCCATACACCTGCCTTAAATGAATGATTGATGAACAGGCATCTGCAGCGCTTTTTCCTTCTGAGGAGCCGATGTAAATCAGGTGTGATGACGGCTTTGTTTGTGACAAAATTATCACCATATTAATAAAGCTCATGGTGTTGAACTGGGATGTTTCATAGTGGCTTTTCACACCTCAACTTGTTTTCCAACATTTCTGTGACTTAATGCAGTCAGATGATTTCCAAAAATGGCATTTTCCTGCAGAGGCATGCTAAATATACCAGGTGCCATGACATGACCATGCACTGTTTAAAGGAAACTGCAAAAAGAAGTCACAAAACTGTCCATCTGTCACCAGGTGGGAGCATGGAAAACAGGATTTGTTCACCAAGAAACTTTAAAAGTAACATGCAAAGTCCTTTGAGGATGAAAAGTCGTAGATCTTACAACCGAATGATTTCATTTATTTAAGTTTTAAATGATTAATGTATTTATGTAATGCCTTCTAGTAGAGGTGCTGAAAAAAATCGATTCAAGTCTGAATCAGGATTCTTATTTATAAAGATTCAGAATCGATTCACAAAGGTTCAGAATCGATTCCAAGAACTGAAATATTTGGCACGTTACAGGTTTAAGATGCACTTTTTTGATCTTTGTTAGGAGAGTCAGTACTCTGATTACTTTTGTGCTCCCATAAATTGAGATGATTTATGTTTGAATCTGCTGATAAGAGGGCACTTAAATGTCATTTTTTCCATACTCAGAAAATAAATATGAGAATATCTCAAATTTCTAAGTTGATAAAGTACTCAGGATTACTCATGTAACTTGTAACAGAATGAATTTAAAAAATCAAACCCGATTTATTTTTCCTAATCACGTGATCGGAGCGGAGCATCCCTAAAATTACTTTGGGTTGTGCTGCTGTCCTGCCATCTTGTTTACAATAAACCCGTTTGTGTGTGACAGACAGGTGGAAAATCTTTGTTCATTCAGGTCAAATCAGAACTGGTTTTGACCAAAACCTCCATTAGCACCAAACCTAATGTGTAAGCCATTGATTGGCATCTTACTTGGTTCAGTGGGTGAAGGGTTAGCCCTACTGCTGAGCCTACAGCCGTTTCCTGATCGGTAAAGTCCGTCGCTGCCAGCGTTTTTCACCGTTTTTACTGTTTTTTTAAGAGTGACAGAACGTTGCGCGCTAGCATGATGTCGACGCCAAAACAACCAAAACAAAGTAGAGACTCACCTCTTACATCAGGAAGAATCCGCCTGTTTTGAGCGTTATCCTATCTTTCATAATCCGTTGTCGAATTGGGATCGGCAGAAGCTTTTCTGTTTCGCGCCTCACTTTTTTTTACAGCAGCGGCTCAAAACGATCTCCTAACACATGGATTCCCAAAGTGTGGTGCGCAAGCTGCCGCTAGGGGGTGCGCAAGGTGAAAAGTGTAATGGCTGCGGAGCTCAGAGAAGTCTGTCACATGTCACCGTTAGCGTAGCCAGAAACTCATTTGTGGGTGGGCCAAAGAAAAAGTAAGTGGGCCCAATAAATGTAACTGAAAACAAGTATATTTTTGCGAGTGTGTGTGTGTGTGTGTGTGTCCTCCACATGTGCCCTAGCTTCATAATAACAATGCGCCGAGCTTCAGCGCTCTGGCCTGCGCACGCCGATATGTTCCGTATTTGATCATCTTTAACGGTGTTGGAGGAATCTGAAGGTGGTGAGTCATTCTGGCAGATTGTAATTAACACCTGTCTCATGCAGGTGTTCTGACGTTGTAAACCTCACACACAGAACATTGTGGATGTAACTAAATAAATCAAGAAATGATTCCCATTCAGGCTATTAACAGCACGCTGAAGATCTGAAGCTCAGAGTGCGTCTGTCAGAGGTCAGACGTGTTCCAGCAGAACCACGGCTCACGGGTGCACAAGTGAGCACATCTGGGCTGGGCAGAAGTTTAAATAGCGCCAATAACGAGACGTGGTGACTTGAGCGGCTGTGCCACGCGCGCGTGTGCGCACACACACACACACAGATTCAATAAGCGCGCACGCTGCTTTAACTCCGGCGCGCCGTCAGACTGAAGGCAGAAATGAACGCTGTCTCCACCGTGATAAAAACTTTTAAGAGGTTATTTTTCATTCAAGGTCAAATTAAGATATTAGCTTCTGGGATGAGTCGGGTCCGCTCCAGCCAGTGACTCCGAACCTGAACTCATGTTACTGCAGCATTTGTTATTCCAGTCCGCGTGGCGGTGGATCGCAGATTCAGCCACACCATAAAACAGCAATAAGGCGGTCTGAGGTAAAAGTGAACATCATGGCTATATCTTGTCCCCTATAGACATTTGATTACGCACAAGTAGGTGACCAGCTCAGGTTTACGCAGAGCAGAAGGAAGGAGAGCGCTCTGGCCGCACAGGTTAAACGTTCCTGCTTTAAGAAAACCATTAAATTGCATTGTTATGTGCTACCTGGGCACTCTAAATATTTATTTACAATGAAATCAAAGGAAACTGTAATGGTATCGAATGTTTATTAATTACTATTTAAAAAATGAAAGTGATGGGGAATTTTTTTAACCCTGTCTGTTTAGCTTGACATCTGATGTGGGGGCTGGGGTGGGGGGGGGGGGGTCGACATGGTCGGGACATAGAAGGGGGTGCGCGGCTAAATAAGTTTGGGAACCACTGTCCTAACACATGGATGTTCTGCTTCCTGATCATGTGACGTGTGACATACGCGGATGAAGATCAGCTTCAGAGCTGGGATGTTTGCTCTCTCAGCGCGGGAACAATTACAGGGCTGTGATTGGCTAGACTGACCTGAGGAGCTAAGTCTTTTTGCTATTGCTACAGTATGTCTAGATTTCAAGGCTAATCCACTCGTGGTCTAGCCATATCACTGCTTCCTTGTGGGAGCCAAAGGCCCTGGTAATGCTCCCATTTGAAATAACCCCACCCCCAAAGAATACTAACCAAGCCAATCAGTGCTGAGCAGTGTACGTCACACATCACGGCGCTCAGTTTCTCATAAATACTGATGATGTCTGAAGCTGTGGCTCTGTCCTCTGTTGTAAATTACTTGGATGTGTCTAAAGAAAGATGTTTGTGCCATCTTTGACTAAAGCTAAAAAAACTACAACATCACACAATACAGTCAGCATTTCACCTTTTTTCTGATTGGTTATTTGTGAGCTGACTAGTCCCGCCCCTCATTGTGCTCTCGGAGTATCCCGACTTATCCTCTGTGTAGAGTACACAGAGTCTGGCAGGCCAGGCTACTTGTGCTCAAACCTATTAAGAAGGATTGTAATTGGTGGATCGGTGCATGTCAGGAACCCGTCGCAGTGCGACCTGCAACGTGATTATTGTGCAGCTCTTGTGGAGTACATCTTGTTTTTACTTTCTGTTTTCTGTTCAGACCCAGCTGAGAACACAAAATGACCAACAGAGGAGAACAATCAGCCTCATCTGACAGCCAGCAAACTGTGCAAGGCCAGCCACACCGGTTTCAGACTGAGCCGTGTCATGATGGGCTCTGGCACCGACCCAGGACAACCAGTTCATTACAAGATGCTCACATTCCCACCTTTTCTTTGCTTCCCCTCTCTCTGCTAGGAAACCTCTCTTCCCTCTATGTACTGTATGTATATGTATGTACAAAACCTGACTACAGGACTTAAACATATCAACCAGAAAAGATGAGCCATACCTCACTGTGTGTTAGTCATACATCATGTTGTCTGCAGGGTGCAGTGAGATAAACCAGGTATTTGATGAAACCCACTGTGAGAGCACGGGCGAGCCGTCAGCGGCCAGCGCTCCGACCCGTCGACACTCCTGACTGGATGATGTTTAACACCGACCCTCCGTTAGGTCTTACTGCTCAAACATTTCTTCAGCCAACACGACAACGACAGCGTTGTGAGGCCTCCGAAGCGCTCTGCTCTAACACCTATCCCCTAACACTGGTGCAGCACCAGGTGAAATCAGCCAATAGCTTCAAGGCAACATGAAATTTCCAGGCATTTCATCTGTTAACAGTTCCAGATCATGCACGCAAACGAGGATGTGAGTGTCTCCAGAAACCGATTGGTTCTCTTCTTTTCCCTCTTCTTTCTCTGCCGTTTTCAGTGCATGCCACAACAAACATGCTTTAAATTTCACCGACATGAACAACAACTGCAGGCTTCTCCAGATTGTCTATAACTGTATCGAGGGAATCTGCCTTATTTCATATCACAACAGAAAAGTCACAGATGGCAGGAGGCGGTCCGAGTCTGAACTCTTGGCTTTGTGTTTTACTTCCATCATGTAATGCTTAAACCTGTTGTTTTTATCGCTTTTGGTTATAAAATACGTTTGATTTATTTTAATTGTTGGGATGACTCATTTATTTTTGGTGGTGCCATACTAAAAATCAGAACAACAACTCTATGAAATGATGCCTTCATACTTTGATGTTTGCTTTGCTGAACTATAACAGAAACGATCAATAAAGTTGAAAACAGAAGCCACGTGTCGGCCGATCCAACTTTCTGTGCCTTTTGTTTTTACATCCAACATGATGCACGCGGTGTTTTAGCAGCAGCCGCTAAATGAGCTGAACCCTTTATCAGACAGATGGAACAGGAAGTAGTTGTGCATTTCTAGTAGACAGGAAGGATTAGTCTGCCTTGTGATCTCCTGCATGTTCACTTTCTGGCCCTTGGGCTCTTTTTTTGGATCAAATGAGACAAAATATCTTACGGCTCCTACCCTCCATCTGAGATGCTCGCTTACACCAGGAGATCTCACAAGATGGTTGTTTTCAAAGCCTCAGCAGCACACCTGAGCTTGTCTGCCACAGAGACGTTAACCTAAACAACTTATCGAAACTCCAAAAGTAGAATTATCACGGGTGGAAATATGACCTGCAGGGTTGTTTGGAAACTGACTCGCTAATGTTGAAGGTTTTACCTCTTTAAATCCTACCAAACGTGGTTACACACCACTTCCATAAAATGTCACTCTCTCCTACTTCTCCAGACGATGTTGTTTACATAAAAATACTTCTCTAAACAAATGAATGAAACTATCAAGAATTCATATGAGACAATGGAGTGATCAAACACCTGAAGTCTGTTTTAAAACCATCAATCGAAATACTTCATAATCAAAGTCAAGTAAAAGTAAAATGTACATTAAAACTAGGTAGAAACAGGTAGAATGCCTTCTGCAGGTCAGGGATGAGGTCCTGCCCACGTGGAGTTTAAGTATCTCGGGTTTTGTTCACGAGTGAGGGAAAACTGGAGCGTGAGATCGATAGGCGGATCGGTGCTGCGTCTGCAGTGATGCGGGCGTTGTACCGGTCTGTCGTGGTGAAGAGAGAGCTGAGTCAGAAGGTGAAGCTCTCGATTTACCGGTCGATCTACGCTCCTACCCTCACCTATGGTCACGAGCTTTGGGTAGTGGCAGAAAGAACGAGATCGTGGGTACAAGCGGCCGAAATGAGTTTTCTCTGCAGGGGGAGAAACTCAGTCATCCAGCAGGGGCTCAGTGTAGACCCGCTGGTCCTCCACATCAATTTTAGGTGGCTCAGACATCTGGTTAGGATGCCTCCTGGACGCCTCCCTGGTGAGGATTTCCGGGCACGTCCTACCAGGAGGAGACGTAAAAGAAGAGCCAGGACTACGTCTCTCAGCTGGCCAGGGAAGGCCTTGGGACTCCCCCGGAGGAGGTGGCCCAAGTGTCTGGGCCTTTCTGCTTAGGTTGATGGATGGATGGAATTAAAGCTACTACTAGAAATACAATTGTTTCCAAAAGGTACTCAAGGAAATGTAATTGAGTAAATGTGTCCAGTTACTACCGATAACAAAAGTAACTCAACATTCCATGCAAAGTTATTTTGATGGCTGCAGGAGGTGTAATGCCGATTTAAACTTTTGTTTTCTGTTTTTACCTGATGGCTAGAAAACTCGACTGGTGAGAACGCGTTTGTTCTTCTTCCGCTCAAATCTAAAAACATCGTTTTGTCCTGCTGAGGGTCGGTTAGCCTCGCTGTATTTTAGGAGGTATGGTTGCAAAACAAGCATCCACAACAGGTTTCCTCCTCGGCTGACGTAAACGGCTGATGGGAAACACGTTGTACCTCGCTGCAGCAGCAGCTTCCACGTCTACAGCCCACTAACTTGTCACATGCCAGGCAGCTGTCTGCAGTGGTTGTCCGTAGATTGGTGGCTGTTTAAATGTTAATGACTCCGTTTAAATGTTGCATGTGGGAGCGGTGGCTTCCCTGAACCTGAGCAGCAGGTGGTGTCGAGGTGGAAACCTCTTCATCTCACGGGGACTTGGTGCAGCAAACCAGCTCCTTGGCGATAAAAATAAGCCTTTATGCTAAAATAACATCCTGGTGTCCTAGTTTACATCTGACGGCGCTGGATGTTCTGGCTTGTATCAGAGTCGTTGGGCTGAAATTGTTGACTCACATCCTTAACAAGAGCTCAGAAACATCACAGGCGCTGTATCTGTCCTCACATTAAAGTGAACCATAAATACATGTTAGGCTGTTTATATGTGGCAAGTAGTGGTGATTGACATGCGAGATATGTTTTTGTCAGTATCTGACAAGTCTTGTCGAGCTGCTGTGGGTTGATGTGATGCTCCGTTTATTTCCGTTTTTGTAAACTCCAAATGAAAGCTTAGAGAAGCTCTTCTTACACGAACACCCATTACCTCCTCAATCTCGTGTATTTTTTCCCCGCCAGCCTTTCTGGTAACTCCTCCCACTTACGCGTCCTCCTGCCCCAGCGCACCAAACCCACCACCACAATGGCTGTTAACACAGCGATAAACTTGAGAAAACTAATTCTGGCTAAAGCTGTAAATCCCGACACTTGATGAGCTGTTTTCATTTGAAGTACAGTGTTTGTCCTTGATGAAATTTCATTTCTGCGCACAGGCACCACTACAGGTGAACTAAGCGGAGATAAACACTCTAATTGGGATGAAAATCGACGCTGTTCATTATGGATGCATGTCTTCAAAGGCAACTAGGGCCGCTGAAATGTTTAAAGGAAATTGACTTTAGCTTTCCTGGTTTCCTTTGAACAAGTGAGAACATGTCGATTACTCTGCCAGCGTTATGCAAATTCTATAACGGTCTGACTAAAAAAGCACGTTTGTCTCGTGCTCAAGGATCCTCATGACGAGAGTACAAAAAAGACTAAATGGATTATCTGTTCTGATAATCTGCATAGAAAGTTAATCATGAGTCTAGTATCATTACAGCTGATATAGCCTAGTAATCCTATGTAAATATGTAGTCTGGCCACGACCCATAGACAGAGCCCATTTGCACGAGTGGAATCTGAAGTTGTCTTTCAAACAGTGTCTGCATGCATTTGGACAGCACTAGGACCAATCAGAGCAATGAACACTGTCGCGTTCATCGTTACGGGGCCGTACGCCACTTCCACGTTGAAACAAAACAAGAGGAAGTCTAAATCGTCCAAAGTCGATGCCAAAGCTATTTTAAACAGGTGAAGTTTCTGAGCAGCCGCCATCTTTGATGATTTGCTCTGTCTAAGATCTGCCCTGTTGGTGCGAAGCCCACCCAATGCTTTCTTTAAAAAAGACAGCGCCGTGACTGGCTCATCCTCCTTTTCTAGGTTTTGTTGAATATAGGGCCAAGTATTAGTCCAACATCATTATACAACATCTCACACTGGGAATATTTTTGGCTCATCACTGCCACTACTGTTGGGACTTGGAATTGCATCCACAATAACCTGATCATCACAAAAAGAATAAGTGGTTGACAAGAGGGGCACTTCAGGGAACCAATCAGATTTCAGCAGGGGCCAATGCCCCCATGGCCTCACCCCTAGAATAGCCAATGCTGCTGAAGCTACAATGGCGCATTGCTAGACCAACCTGCAGAGCTAAATCTATTCTTACTGCAACAGTTTGTCTAGATTTCTAGGCCAGGTGTTATAAACCTAAATATAAAATGCAATGGTCACACGATTCATTATTTCTGCTTTGCAATTAAACTACAAATTCTGTAATTCCTACATCTCTAACTTTTGTACTTTTTGTCAGCTTAGTCCCATTCACACCAGAGTTATTTCCACTGACATTTTCAAACTAAAATTTTACCTGTTTGAGTGTCAAATCTGATTTTATGGGTCTGATAAGTGGTTTTTTTCTATTTACCTTTTTTTTTTTTTTGCTTTATGACTTTAAACTACAGCTAAAAAGCCACTCAGAGAAGTATGAAGTCCTGCAGTTAGCTGGAAAGCCCTGCCCAGTGATCTAGTGATCAACTTTAGTTAATGTGGCACCATTAGCTGTGAACTGCTCTCATTATCCGATAGGTTAAAGTGGAAACAACCTTCCATTTGGACCACTTCTGAATAAATGCAATATCTTTGAGGAGAATGTGTTTATTTCTATTAAGTAAATTGAAGCCAGATTTAAATGATAAGATTTCTCTTTAGAGCTCTAACAAACGGAGTGCGTTTAAGGGAGGCATTCAGGATGTTTTTTCCCTTGTTAACAAATTTGTTCAGAAGTCATTAAAATGTTTCCATGCGGTCATTTTCACCAGGAAAAACACTCCGGGATGCCTAATGAAAGAAAATGAAAAGCTACCGCACAAAAATGCTCAATAATTAATTTGGACATTAATAAATGCATTAGTCTCGTTTGGCTGTAAGTTTGGGAGTAGTTTGGTTATGCTGATTTTCTTTCTCATTAAAAACAAAATGTCACCTGGATCTCAAGCTTCCTGGGATTCAGGAAATGAATCAGAAACGCATTTAGAGACGGACTACTTGCATGCTGAGAGCAGAGCGGGGTTTCTTCTGGAGCCCTGCTGCTTTCCACATCAGCCAACTATTACAAATGCACTTAACCACAAACACAGCGTCCAAACTAGCAGCGAAACTGGGGATCAGAGGTTGTTTTATTTTTTATATATTTTTTATTTGCACTCAGATTTTTTGGAATGTGAATTCCAGCGCTTTGGGCTTCCTGACAGGGTTGCGGAAGGCGCTTTATAAATAAAGCTTTGATTGATTGATTGATGATTGATTGAATTGTAATGAATAAAAAGGGTCAATTTTCACCATCAAATTGACACAGTAACCTTTCAAGCACGCCAGAGCTGCAAAGTCAAGGTTACGCCAGCTGGAGGATTCAGACGCACAAATCAACCGTCTGCTCGCTTATTGTTCTTCAACAATAGTAAACTGCCAAGGTCTCCCACGGAAGTCCTTTCCTCTCTTATCTCAGACGGCTGGACACCTCACTCTGAATAGTGAACTTTTACAACTCATGAGTTCAATAATCATATGTGATGAACGAACAAGACGTTTAAATGAAATGTTTGAATAATCTGTGCTTTAACCAGTGAAGTTGAAATGAATGTTGCTCTTACAACCATCCATTGCAGATCTTATGATCAGTATGTGTTTGATTTAACACGTTAATCATTACCTACACTCATACATATCTTCATATGATACAAAT